AACACAAATAAAATTACATGTTTATTCGTCTAAAAGTTGACGGATTTTTTTATCGTACAATTTTCGTTGTTGGTCTGTCATAGTTGAATGATCCATTTCCATCAATCTGATTGCCAATTCTTCTTTTTTAAGTTGATCTTTCATCTTCTCCCGTTCTTCTTTCTTTCTCTCTCGTTCCTCTTTCTTTCTCTCTCGTTCCTCTTTCTTTCTCTCTCGTTCTTTTATAGCTTCCGTATATTTGTTCATTGCTTCTATTTTTTCAGTATCAAGATTGAATTGTTCTTTCATCGCCTCTTCGATACGGTCGATAGAGTTAGTTGATATAGATTTTTGTTTACCTTTATCCTTTGAAGCTTTCCTTCCCATTGGACGAGCAGTCGACGTTAGCTCGGGGGTCGACGTGTTTGTATTTGAGGATGATGAGGTATATTGGCCCGAGCTATCATTTTTTGTCCTCTTTGACCCCCTATCTTCTACTAGATCAACAACCTCCAGAGGTCTTTCTCGTTGACYGATCCATTTTTCTTGATCACGCAATTCAACCCAAGCATGCAAGAAGTTGAATTTTCCACCTTCTAACGAGCTATATAACTCTAAAGCCCTGTTTTTTTTTTGTCTTCTTCATTCAGCCCACTTTCACGTCGGTGTAGGATCTGTTCATAACAGCCAACAAACTTTGAAACGACATGATTTATTCGACTCCAACGATTTTGAAGTGCTTGACGATTCCTACTAGTTTGAGAAATCGTGTCACGATTCACATCGTAATATTCAAGTATACGCTGCCAAAAATTTATCCTACTTTGACCAGTACCAACTGTTRCATCTTTGCCTATGTTGAGCCAAGCACTACACAACAATATGTCATCTTTGGTTGTCCATCGGTTKTTTTCATTTTTAGAACCGCTTGCTTGCTCCGGCACGAGATTTGATTGTGAAGAAAATTCTGGAAATTGAGAAGGAGGAGTAGTAGGATTTGGGTAAAATGGCATTTGAAAATTTAGTGGATAGTTAGGATTTTGGTACATCGGCATTTGAAAATTGTTAGGGTTCATCATAGGAAAGTTAGGATTAGGATACATTGGAGTAGGAGGATTTATGTTTTGTGCATCATCATTTGGATTATGGGATAAAGGTTGGGAAAAATTGAAAAATGGGTTGAACTGGGGCTTTGATGGATCCATTAGAAGTAGAAAATGCAGAGATATTGAAGATTATGAGAGTGAATATGAAGGTGTATTTTGAAACACCGAGCCCACACTATATATAAGGGTAATGGTAACCGAAGTCAAGGGGTGAACAGTAGCCGAAGTCACGGGTGAACAGTAGCCGAAGTCACGGGTGAACAGTAGCCGAAGTCACGGGGTGAACAGTAGCCGAAGTCACGGGTGAACAATAGTCGCTAAGAATTTGATATAAATACAATTATACGTGACCTTATTAACCATAACACTTTAGTTTTTTAAAATGTCTGAGTATGAGAGTGAGTATTCTTCATCTTCTTCGTCTTCAACATCAGAAAAAATTGTTGAATGGCTTCTTGATGATTCTTCCTCCAAACTCACTACCCACTATGTTGCCTTACAAAAACAACAAATAGCAGATGCAACTTCTACGTCAAAACGTAAAAAGAAGAAAAGAAGAAATATAGAAAGAAAGCATGAAGATGGAGATCGACGTCTGTACGAAGACTACTTTTCTGAGAATCCGACATACAATGATGATATATTTCRACGTAGATTTCGGATGCGGAGACCATTATTTCTTCGCATAGTTGAAGGTGTGAAGAATCACGATCGATACTTTGAAAGTGGTATCGATTGTACCGGTAGATCAAAATTATCATCTCTTCAGAAGTGTACTGCTGCGATACGAATGTTAGCATATGGTGTAGCTGCAGATGCCGTTGATGAATATTTACGAATTGATGAAACTACAACAATAAAATGTGTTAAGAAGTTTGTACGAGCTATTATTGCAGTGTTTGGGGACGAGTATTTACGAAGACCAAATGTCGCTGACCTTCAACGATTACTTTATATTGGGTACCAACACGGTTTTCCAGGTATGTTAGGCAGTATTGATTGTATGCATTGGGAGTGGAAAAATTGTCCGGTGGCATGGCACGGACAATATGCTAGAGGGGACCATAAAACTCCAACTATTATGTTAGAAGCAGTTGCTTCACAAGATTTGTGGATATGGCATGCTTTTTTTTTGGGCTTCCAGGCACATTAAATGATATCAATGTGTTAGATCGATCTCCCATCTTCCACGAGGTCTAAGAAGGGAAAACACCAGAGGTAAATTTCTTTGTTAATGGTAACAACTATAGTTTAGGATACTACCTTGCAGATGGAATCTACCCTAACTGGGCTACGTTTGTGAAATCCATCCCATTGCCCCAAAGTCAAAAACATCAGCAATTTGCAAAAAAACAAGAATCAGCTAGGAAAGATGTAGAAAGAGCGTTTGGCGTATTACAATCACGATTTGCCATA